ACACACACAGACACACACACAGACACACAGAGTGTTTGCTGAGAGTAGCGATCTGGTTTCCTCACAATATGCTCATGTTTGCTGTTCACTAGTGTCACTCACACACAGTTCCTTCATACTAATGAAAACACTAATGATGTTCCTCAAAAAACTACTTGGTATTTCTCTTTTTGCTTACACTGTTGCACTCTTTCCATGGCCTGTTTAGTAAAGTCTCTGTGACCGTGAACATACCAGGAGGCAGGTGGAGTTTGTAGAGAAGTTTGAGTTTTTCTGTCATATCGCCATGATACATTCCACCTGAGACAAAAACAAACCAAAAACTGTTATGATGAAGATGTCGAGAAGCTTAGAACAGTTATTTCTTTGCTTTAAGTTGTTGTTACACAATACGTGCAGACTAACTTGAATTATCCCTCAATAATTTGACCTTCTATTTTCTATAAATATATTTCTAATATATTCTTTCCACCAAACAGTGTTGCAAAGTAGATTCAAAATGTTTAATATAATAACTAAAACAGCAAAAATAAATTTTTCAGTTTGTAACTATATGAATCGAACGCTATTTCATCATTTTCATTCACATGCACCAATATAACAATAAATGCATAGTAATAAACATGCAAAGCAAAGCTGAATAGTGATGCATTAAAGTGACCATAAAGACACAATGTTACAAAACTATCTGTCGGTTGTTCTAATTAAAATAAATGCTGATCTTTTGAATCCTGAATTCATTTAAAAAAAATCCTGATTAAAAAAAATAGATAAAAAATGAAGCAGCAAACCGGTTTTCAACAATGATAATAAAAAAATGTTTCTGAGGGATCATGTGACACTGAAGACTGGAGTAATGATGCTGAACATTCAGCTTTGATCACAGGAATAAATTACATTTTAACATATATTCAAGTAGAAAATTATTATTTTAAATTGTCACAATATTTCACAGTATTACTGTATTTTTGATCCAATAAATGCAGCCTTTGTGAGCAATAAGAGTCTTCTTTCAAAAACATTTAAAAAAAAACTCACAGGCCCCAAACTTTTGAACGGTAGTATATATTGATCATGCAAATGAATCTCTGAATCAAGAGTGAATCAATTCACTGAAACAGACACTTCGATTCATAAAAAAATAAATCAAACTTACCAACTCGAAAGCTATCAATATATCACCTAACACTTTCATTCTCACAAGTTACAAGACAAAGGATTATGAAATTAGTCCAAGGATGCAATACAATCTAATTTTATATCATTTATTAAGAATACTCAATATGTGGGCATGAGTGACATTAATGCCAAATTTGCGTTCGAGTCTCTCTGACAGGTGTTTATTATTCATTCTGTATTCTGTTCTGTGTGACATCATAATTGAACTTTAACCATACAGAACCCTTTCAGTATATATTGTGTGTATAATGCAAAAAATTTTTTTTACCCAATGACGCATTTCAATGGTTGAACTGAACCCTATGGAGAGGGTTTTGAGGTCTCTGATTGTTGGGCTCTTATCTGAATCTGACTCTATCAATCTACAAGCTGTGGTGTAAATGCATCCACTCACTGAGTCCGGTGACAAACTCTTTGAAGTTGATGAGAGAGTCTTTGTTTTGGTCGAGCAGGCGGAAGAGTCGGCTGGAGAGCGTGTTGGTGTGAAGGCCACACAAATACACCAACTAATGGTTTCTCTTTAGTTTTAATAGAGCAGTAAGGTGTTAGGAAGAACACAGATCAGAATAAAACACATTTACAAACAAAATAAGTCAAATTAAAAACAAATGAACGGACAAAAAATAATGTCGCATCCACTCACTGAGTCCGGTGACAAACTCTTTGAAGTTGATGAGAGAGTCTTTGTTTTGGTCGAGCAGGCGGAAGAGTCGGCTGGAGAGCGTGTTGGTGTGAAGGCCGCAGCTCCAGGGTGCCAGAGTGGAGAAGAGCTGAGTGAACTGGCCACTGTCAATGCGATACTGCTCCAGATACGGCAGACTCGGGTCGTGCCGCTCCGCCGCGGTGCTACTCGCACCCCAGTAACAACTCATGATGTGCTTCGCCTGGGACAGACACATAAATACACTAGCATTCACACAATTACACAAACAATATCTAGAGCTGGATGGCATGACAGAAGGTACTGTAGACATATACGACAAATGCATGCAACTATACAATCATCCAATTAGACTGCTTCAAGAAAATCACCAAATGAAAAGCACCTTTCTGTAAAATATTTAATCACTGGTTCATTAAAAAAGCATTACCACATGGTTATTTAATATATAGTCCATTTTTAGTT